CCGAGAGGAATCCACTTTCTAGATAATAAATACATGGACGACTATGTAGTGAGTAGATTTATTACTGTTTTGTTTCTTTTTTAATTGAATTATTTTGTTTGTTTGACTGAAAAGAATAAAATTTTTCAGGGTGTGCGCGGCTCACCTGCACGTGCCACGTACCGCTAGCTCACTTGGTATAATAGAATGGCACAGCGAGGCAAACGAATAAATAGAAACGACAATGATTTGGCGTCTTGCCCAGGCGCAATCAAAAGGCGCAAATGTAGGCTGGGTCCAGCGACGGGTTCGTCGTCGCTGGCAGCTACCATGGGGCCCTCAGAAGAGGAGGAGACGATGGCGTCGTCCAGTCAAGGAGGGGCATCCTGGACCCCCCGACCACTTAGTGATATCAAAATCTCTAGTATATACAATCGCTCCTCTGCTGAGGCTCCAGCAGAATTATTTCGTAAGGATTTGATCAGTGCGATGAAATTACCTGACAGTGAACCACTAAGTCCCAATGAATATTGGGTCATTACTGATCAGTGGAAACAAGAATGGGAAAGAGGTGTTCAAGTACCTGTCAACCCAGATTCCCTTCCTGAACCTACAGTCACTATCACGCAGGCAGCACCTGTAAAGCAGCACTCTGAATTCAAGCTGTAAGTCCTTTTTTAATTGAATAATTTTCATTTAGTTAATACTGTTTTAAGAAAACGGTATTAAAAAGAGTAAAATGATTATTAAAGTTTTAAATGGCATAATTTTATATTAGAAATAGCTAACATCATTTGACTTATGAATTACAGAAATGTATTTGTATTAACAATAATGATATCTTTCTTATTATAATAAGAAAAAAGTAGGTCAGTGATGGAAGTGCAGTTTATATTGTAATAGTGCATAACATTTTATGGAACTATCTATTGTTTATTAATTAAAAACTACAGTTTTATAAAGAACAAAAACTGCATGCTAAATGTAAAGAATGTATCTTATGAAAGAATTATTTGAAGATGAATTTATTCAATGTCTTTTTAAACTAGTGTTAATAGTTTTCTTTGGTAATAATACTTTCCTAGACCTAAGAAATTCGTAAGGATATCGCGTGACGATTACTTCAACCCAGAAGACCATCATTTAAGCACAACACCGGCACGGGCTGAGAAAGCTTGTGCTTATGACCTTGATGACACTGATATTGCTTGGTTGGATGTATTAAATGGTGAACGTGCCCAGGTACATTTGAAATTTTACTTTTCCGTTTTTGTAAATGAGTTTTATATAATAGTGTTCCAGTTACTACAAAGTCTATTTATTTCTCTATTTTTAATTTGTATCACTTATAGATTATATTTTTAATTTGACTAAGTTATTTAAGAGGAGTACTTGCATTCCTTTTAGTAATTAATAACACAAGATTATAAGTAATAGCGCACTTATCAAAGCAGTAGACTGTTTATTACTTTAAATTTAAATGATGTCAAAACTATGCAGATTATTTTTTTTTATTATAATGATTGTATGTAAATGTTTAAGTTGTACCATTTTGTTGTGAACTTTAAGAGTTTAATTTAAAGGGTATACTTTCATGTTAATCGACAATATTTTAGGCTGGTCAATTGCCAATCACGGAATCGCAATTGGAACGCGTGATAGAAGAACTGGAAGTTCGGTGTTGGGAAAGAATACAGACTATTGTAAAAAACGAGGAAGGTCTTGGCATTGAATATGACGAGAATGTAATTTGTGATGTTTGTAGATCTGTAAGTGTTTTCCTAATGATATCAACTTGTGTAAAAGAAGGAACTGATAACTAAATCCTATTTTCATTTTATTTCCCACTAGCCTGATTCTGAGGAAGGAAATGAAATGGTATTTTGTGACTGCTGCAACATATGTGTACATCAAGCTTGTTATGGAATTACTTCAATACCAGATGGTTCCTGGTTATGCAGAACTTGTTCTCTAAGTCAACGACCAGATTGTGTTCTCTGTCCTAACAAAGGTGGTGCTATGAAGTGTACTCGCAGTGGCCAAAAATGGGCTCATGTCTCTTGTGCTTTATGGATCCCAGAAGTTAGCATTGGCTGTGTTGAAAGGATGGAACCTATCACTAAAATATCCAGTATTCCGGTATGTGTAATGTGTTGAATAAGTGAATGTATTTTTTACTAAGAAATGCATGTATTACATTAGTTGTTATGTAGAAAATGGCATTTATATCATTTCGTATTAATACAACAAAACTTTGATTACAGCAAAGTCGATGGGCTCTAATATGTGTGCTATGTCGAGAAAGAGTCGGTGCTTGTATCCAGTGTAGCATAAAGACGTGCAAGACAGCTTATCACGTGACGTGTGCCTTCAAATATGGCTTGGAGATGAAGGCAATCATTGAAGATGAAATGGCTGATGATGGAGTAAAATTAAGGGTACTT